GAAACAAATGATAAACCCTAGATTGATGAGTTGAGATTTTTACTTGTTTGTATCGAATCTGTGAGTTAAAAAAAAAAGGTTGAATTTTGTTCTCTCTTTTCACACATGCCTGTTGATTTAGATAACTCCTCCACTGTTTCCGGCGATGCAAGCTTTTCATCGACCGGAAACCAAAACCCACCACCGAAGAAGAAACGGAATCTCCCCGGAATGCCTGGTACTTCCTTCAAAATCGTAACTTTTTTCTTTCTCTTTATTGATTTTGAAATTTATGTTTTTGTTCTTCATTGAGTTTGGGTTTTTGGTTAATCAGATCCAGACGCGGAAGTGATAGCTTTATCACCTAAAACTCTAATGGCAACGAATAGATTCGTTTGCGAAATCTGTAACAAAGGGTTTCAAAGAGACCAGAATCTTCAGCTTCATCGTCGTGGTCACAATCTACCATGGAAACTAAGACAGAGATCGAGTAAAGAAGTGAGGAAGAAAGTCTACGTTTGTCCTGTTTCAGGCTGTGTTCATCACGAGCCTTCACGTGCTTTAGGAGATCTCACTGGAATCAAGAAACACTTTTGTCGGAAACACGGAGAGAAGAAATGGAAGTGTGAGAAATGTTCAAAGAAGTATGCTGTTCAGTCAGATTGGAAAGCTCATTCGAAGATTTGTGGAACCAAGGAGTATAGATGCGATTGTGGAACTCTGTTTTCTAGGTACGATTTGTAATTTAGATCTTTCTGATTAAAGCAAATATTCTAAACTTGTGGAATGGGTTTTTTGTTTGTGTTTAGGAGAGATAGCTTTATAACGCATAGAGCTTTCTGTGATGCTTTGGCTGAAGAAAGTGCGAAGAATCATACTCAAAGTAAGAAACTTTATCCAGAAACAGTCATTAAGAGGAAGAACACAGAACCTGATCAGAAATCTCCATCCGCCGTTGATTCTCCTCCTCATCCGCCGCAGCAGCAGCAGCCTCATTCTCCGCAGTCGGTTGCTCTAGCTCCGGCACCGGCTATTTCGGTTGAGACTGAGACTGAGTCTGTCAAAATCACATCTTCCTCGGTTTTGCCGATTCAGAGTTCTCCAGGTATTAACAAACTCTTTGCTTGACTGCAAAATTTGGCATTTTTTTGGATCAAGTTTTGTCGCTACTTGTAACAATTTCTTCGATTCTCAACAAGAACAACTCCTAGAAAATCTAAATGTAATGGTTGGTGATGTTGGAGTTTAGTTGGTTTTGTCTTTAGCGCCGTTATTTCATAACTGAATCTAGTTCGTCGTCTTCCATAGCTAACTCTTTAAGATTGAAATAAATAAAAAGAAATTCATAATTGATTCTGATTTCTTTCAGGTTAAAGTTTATTCGTTTGTTTTAGATCCAAAGTCTCAAACTTTATGTTATTGTTTGATCACCCGCCCTTTCTTTTGTTTGCAGAATCTCTAGAGAACACACCTCCTGAAGTTATCATCGAGGAAGCTCCAAGAACGATCGGTTTCAATGTGAGCTCATCGGGTCTAAGCAACAATCACAGTAACCATAACGGTGTATACGCAGGCTTGTTTGTATCATCGACAGCTTCACCTAGTTTATACGCTTCCTCAAACACTTCCCCAAGTTTATTCGCGCCGTCTTCCTCTATAGAACCCATCTCGCTCTGTCTCTCGACAAACCCTTCTTTGTTCGGAGCAGCGATGCAAGAACCGCCACATTTCCTAACCCCTCTTCCTCAACCGGCAATGTCAGCCACAGCATTGCTCCAAAAAGCTGCCCAAATGGGTTCCACAGGCTCAGGAGGTTCATTGCTACGCGGGTTAGGCATAGTTTCAACCACTTCCTCATCTATGGAGCTTGGCAATCACGATGCAGCGTCCTTAGCCCCTGGTCTTGGACTTGGACTACCTTGTAGCAGCGGTGGAAGCGGATCAGGTCTTAAAGAGCTCATGATGGGAAATTCCTCTGTGTTTGGTCCGAAACAAACGACACTCGACTTTCTCGGATTGGGAAGAGCTGTTGGTAATGGTGGTAACCCCGGTGGCGGATTGTCTGCTCTGTTAACTTCAATCGGTGGTGACGGTGGAATCGATGTTTTCGGATCGGGGGAGTTTTCAGGGAAAGACATTGGTAGAAATTCCTAAGAGAAAGACAAAAAGACATGAAAGTAGAAGAAGCAGTGTAGTATATAGCTATTAAGTATGTATCAGGTTTAGATCTTTTGGCATCTTGTTTTAGTAAAAGCTTTTAGTGTTATATTTCCCAAGTGGGTTTTCTCACAAGTACATAAAGCTCCACACAACAACTACAACAGATATATTTGATTTTTGTGCTTTTTTGTTGATTACAATTCACCCATTTTCGAATCTGCATCAAAAGTAGCACAAAAGTAT